ATTACTTCATTAATAATCGTGTCAAGTCAAACTAAGGCACATAAAATGGGACAGATGTAGTATATTCATTCATGTAATGTCAAAGGTTTGATACTCCGTACTACGTACATATCAATTCGATGCAACTTTAGAGTTTGGACTGCTTGTACATTATTTATGTAAAAGAGTTGTCAGCATTATTTACATAAATTTATGATTTGTTTTAACCATCAAAATTTAAGCTTAGGACGAGTTTGGTATGGTTATTACTTATACTATGCAAACGTACATAAATACATTCCAAGGTATGGAAATGCATCTTCTCTCAATCAATTATTGGACTTTGACTAAGTGAATCTCATCCTCATCCACAATCCCATGTCAAATTATATTGTAATATGGGCTCCATCAATAATTTAATTTAATCATCTACCCATCTTGCTAGCTGTCATCTGTCCTCGTTAATTCATGATCACATATCCTTCATTAAAAAATCACTCACGTACGAACATTTGAAAGGCCAACCTATTCCAAAATCAAAAGAAAGAATCAGAAAAAGCGGCCGCCGGGCGCCGGCACAGTTAGTTGCGTTCCTAATGTCGGGGGAGAAGAAGTTGCGGATAAAAGTGGAGTCGCCGACGTCGGAGTTCCGGGCAGAAGTGAACGGGAGCGGTAAGGTGATGGATCTGATAAAGATAATAAAACGGGCGTGGGGGAGTGAGCACATGACTCTCCACACCAACTCTACAGAAATGAAGAGCGATCAGCCCCTCTCTGTTTACAATCTCAGAGACGGATCTGTCGTCAAAGTCAGAGTCTTCGCCGACGCTCCTTAGCTTCATTCCGGCCGCCCTCAGTTCCGTTTGGAGATTTAAGATCGATCCATGAAGATGACTGAACAAATGTTTTATTTATTGGCATCTATCTATTTTTCCTGGCAACATTTTAATCATCAAACGGTTGTGTTTGGACTTGGAACATAAATATGTCTTTGTAATTCAATTCCATTTCTTCGTTTTTGGAGTTGTATCTTGTACCAACCAAGTACTTAGTAGTACGTAGTACACAAATGATCCTGTCCGGACGTCCGGACAGGAACCGCCGTCCGGCCGGCGGCGTTTGGCCGCCTTCCCGGTGGAATTTTTTGATGAAATTTTTATGGCATGTTCTCCATCAAGTCTAGTTTATCCACAAAAAAATTCAGCCAAAAACTCAATCGGGAAGGTCGTCAAATGATTTTTGCAAGTTAACTGGTCCGGAATATACATATTCCGGACCAGTTAACTTGCAAAAATCATTTGACGACCTTCCCGATTGAGTTTTTGGCTGAATTTTTTTGTGGATAAACTAGACTTGATGGAGAACATGCCATAAAAATTTCATCAAAAAATTCCACCGGGAAGGCGGCCAAACGCCGCCGGCCGGACGGCGGTTCCTGTCCGGACGTCTGGACAGGATCAGGACTCGTACGTAGTATATCTCAAACCCACCCTTTGTTATCTACTATACTACCATTGCAAAATTGACTTTTTTTGGTTAAGCATTTTCAACTTATTCACTTAATTATGATGTGAATTTCTAATTATATTCTAATTTGAAATTTACAATTTTAAAGAGATTTGAATGTGATTTTTCGAATAAGTAAAAATTAATTAATTAAAATTGAATTAATTATCGATTTAATTCAACATTAGTTCACAGCAATTCAACATTAGTTCACAAAAAATGACGAGTTTGCAAATCATTTCAAGAGGAAGGGAGACTCAGGGAATAATGTTTATTCTCAATGCAACACTTATCCATCCATATTAGTAGTAACCAAAACACGTACGTAATATTATAAATCATCTTTTTTCTAAAAATTTGATAAAATTAAATAAATGAATGTTTTTTAATCCAAAATACGTACTGTTAAGATCTGAGGTTCCATCCTAAAAGGTCAACGTGATAGGAGGAGTAGCCCAAAGCCTTATATAGTGTTTAATTGTTTTTATAGCATCCGATGTGGTGCAATTGCTTCAACACGCCCCCTCAGCCCGAACCGGGATGGACAATATCGGGGTGTATAAACGGGCCAAAGAAACCCTTAACAAGCTACCCTTACTCATGGGTGCTAAACAAGCCGTCAAACCACAACCGGAATTGGCTCTGATACCATTTTAAGACCTGAGGCTCCATCCTAAAAGGTCAACCTGTAGGAGTAGTCCAAAGTCTTATATAGAGTTTAATTGTTTTTATAACTTTTCGACGTGGACAAATGCTTCAACACGTACTCGGTAGTATTTAATCGTTCATTTTTAAATAAATGAATGATGCTTTATCCATAATTCCATATTACGTATTTCGTTCGAGTTGACAACGCAATTTACTTTAAGATTGAGAAAAGCACTATTCAGTATGTAATATAAGTTAATGGTGCCGTTATTCCAAAAATGATTTTACGTGATTGAAATTAAATTTATAAAGTAATACTGCCCGTCCCATTTTAATAAAGTGGTCGAAAAAAGTAAAAAATTGCGGTTGAGATTTGAATATAGTAAAGTAAAAAGGTGTATGCCACAATTTTTTTCCAAAAAAACAATTAGACATTTATTTTGAGACAATCCAAAAAGAAAAGTAGGACAAGTAAAATGGGACGGAACGAGTAACTAAAATAATTTGGAAATATATAAATATTACAAAATTTGATATGAAGCCATCTTAAAGAGAGACAGGAAAAGAAAAATGGGATAATAATTAAGAGAGTATGCAAGTAGTAAATGATGATGGCAATACTGATTTTTAGTAATATGTCGTACTTCATACGAAGTACTCGTATATTTTAGTAGTGACTCGGTTCTTTAATACTACACCGTCCTGCTAAGATCTTCCTAATTTGATCTATACACATATTAAAGAAATAAACTTACCAGGGATAAAATTTACTGTTTTGACACTGTTTCGACACTGTTTGACATTGTTTTGCACTGTTTGACACTGTTTTGATGTAGGATAACTTTCCATTTAAGAAAATGAGAACTTCATTTTGGGACTGCTAAAAAAGGAGAGCAGAAAGATCTTAGTGGGACGAAGGGAGCATAATACTCGTAGACTCTTACCAATAAATAAATGGGAAAAATACCTATATACGAAGTATGAGTAAAAGTTGTTAAAATTCCTAATATATGACTTGACCTGTTATTAGTCATCCGTATGATTAAAAATTCAAAAAAAAATCCCACCCCACGTAATAAACAACATGGAAGGACAAAATTGACCTCATAAAGCAAACGTGCATATCGTATGTGTAGTTGATAAACTAGACTTTCGCAAAGGAAAGTAACGGAAGCAACCTGCAAATAAAAGAAGGAAAGTATTGCGGCCGAACCTTATTTTACGGAACTACAATTATGGAATGAATAAAAAAATGCTAAAGGTAAGTGACGATTATGATCGATACTTCCCCAAGAAATATAAATGAGAAAGTGCGACATTGAAAACTTTGAAGGTGTAGGTGTGCAGTGAAATTTTATGTTTAGTAATGCCTTACAAACGTGCAGTAAATTTGATATCTACAATTACTTTTGTGTGACTAAGGCACTTGTTAGATTTTTTTGTCCCGGTAGGCAAACCACCAAAATCAATGGGGTAAATGTCGGGGAACATTTACCGGATTTTATAAAAATAAAAAGAAGGTACAAAAGAAAGGGGGACTAGGCCAATACCTCCCAGGAGGCACACCTCCTAAAAAATCAATAAAAGCATCTAAAAGAAGGAAATCCAAATAAATCTCTATAGTAAGCAAAACAGGCCTGGGAAGGAAGCTCACCAACCTGATTGAAGATCCGAACTTGGGCCGATGGGGAACAGGTCAAAAAGACAAAAAGTGTGCGGTCCAATTACTTTCCCGCCAAGGCACTAGTTAGATACGCAGTAGATACTAAATTCTCATATGGTGCATTATTATTTTGTATAGCGTATAGCAAGTTTGAAGAATGCAATAGTTGCTCATTTGATTTTGCAGTTACAGGTTTCTAATATTTAGACAACGCATTAATTTGGCAGTGCTATTTCCAATAAAAAATCAATGCACAAATACCAATGCACAATATTAATGCACAATATCATCATTTTCAAATGATGATGTCATGTATCTATTCATGTTAGCCGATCCCAATATCGTTTAGGACTAAGGCTTGGATGTTGCTATCATCATCTTCAAATGACTCAGAACGGTTATTGTTGATCAACCGGGCTGTCGTTCCCAACCGGCCAACTGAAACCTAGATACCGGGAAGCCATTGGACATATATACATACATATGGAGTATATGGAGCGAATTCATTTTTTACCAGTATTCTTAAAAATTCCAATAATAAACTAGCTTTTTACATATATGTGGGTCGTGCAGATCATCATTTACCTTATATAAGTATATATTCCTTATTCTTAGGAATGGTAACTGATACGCCGTTTACATATTAGTTGTGCAAAGCAATTCCGTATTTTTAGGAAGAATCAATTATTACTTAATAGGGTTGAAGGGCAGACATGGAATAAAAGAAAAAATTAAAATTCAGGAATGGCCTTCAGGCCTTGTGCCGTATACCAATATTAGAATAGGAAAAAAAAGTGATGTGGTCATATATTGAGAAACTCATCATCTTTTAGTCATAAGAGCGGTAAATATCTCTAAATAAATCCAAATACGAAGTAGTATTAAGTATTAACTATGTAAACACAAACCCGGTAAATCCATTTTTTACGACCCACCAATCCACCATACCCACAATTGAAGTAGTCATTGGTGGGTTGAAGCAACTCTTTAGTAGTCGTAGGTTTTAGACTCTAGAGGTGGGCAGTGGGCTTGGGCTTCTCAAAACTGTTCCTATGTGTGAAGTTCATCCTGATCTGGTACGAGTTAAAATCAGGTTTGCCATTTCCCTGGTTTCATTTTCCAAACGTTTTGTGCACATTAGCCGGCTTTAGAGCTATTTAGTCAGGTTTTGTTAGCGAGTCTAGGCACAGATTTTCAGAAGATAGAGTATAACAATGTGGGTTCCTTGCAAAAATTGTAATTCAGTGGCTCAAACAATGTTCAATGTGTGTATGTACATCATTGTACTTCAGAGTTCAGAATCAGCAACAGAAATACAAGGGCGTTCGAAAAGACTTCAAACCTCGCATAAAGAGGTATTTGTTGAATGGTGGCATCTGCTGAAGTTTCGGAAAGAAAAAGTATCCTTGGTGACATGCATTTCAGCCAAATAAGTCAAAAGCCGCTCTTTCTACTCAATAAGCAACATAAGGCTACCAAATAGAGCCTCTAGGAGAACAAGATACCCTACATTGATTGCTGCCGCTTTCATGCTATGGATTGCGCCTTTCATTTGCTCTTATCAGGCTTGGGAATTCTCTTGTATTCATAATTGTTTAAATCAACCTTTTCTTTCAGAGCCTGAACATATGGATGGAAATTAGGGATACAACTCACTTATTTTTTTTAACAAAAATAAGTAACAGCCTAACAGGTCATGTGTACACGGTCAAAATTTGCATACCTTCAATTCATCCTCCAAGTTGATCTTTTTGGGGTTATATGCATTCACAGGCCCTTCTCTAGAAAGTGCTTTTTTTGTCTCAATGATTTCCCACTCTCGATCATCCTTCACTTTAGCAATATCCTTGCTGAACTACACAACACATTTATAGCGATAAATAAATAATTTTTTATAGAAATAAATAAAAATGAAATATATACAACACACAAGAGCAACTTTGTCTTGGAATCGTCGCTTCTTGTCTTGGGCAGGCAGAGAGGTATTATCGTATTACTTAAATCTGTCATCCAATCTATGCCTACATATGCCATGAACGTTTTTCCTCTTCCCATTGAGATATGTAATGATATTGAGGAACAAATGCATGTCTATTTGTGGAGAGAGGCAGATATGACGAAGAAGGGTATTCGGTGAAGTGGCAGGATTTTGTGCACCAAAGAAGCAAGGTGGGTTGGGTTTTCCAAGATTACAGGAAGTAAATGTGGCAATGCTAGCCAAGAAGGTCTGGAAGACCCTGACATGAGCTTCCTAAATCAACAGAATTCTCTCTCAATGGGTGCAAGTTTTTTTTATGCGCAGGTAGAAGATAGTTGCAGCAACTTTAATGTCACGCTGTGGAGCTTGTGGAAAGGTAGAAATGAAGCAGTGTTGCGATGACATAAGCTGGACTTTCAGGTTATTTTCAATTGTAAGACAACTTTGTTGAAGGGTTGGCGCGATGCCCAGCTACCAGGCGGGAAGAGAGGAGGCTGCAGGGACTTAAAAACAAGACAAAAATGGCAGCGACCGCCAAGGGTGTGTGTTAAAATCGACGTAAATGCGACAGGGCTGGTGCGGGCTGGCCATGGTTAATGATTGATTGATTAATGAGATGAGAATATCTGTTTTTGAAATAAAGAGCAAGTTTTTGGGGAAAAAATGTAAACTGACTTAGACATACATCAGTGACTAAAATAATGCAACTACCCTCGGGAAAGAGGCTTTTGCCATTTAGAAAAATGTATGCAATCCATATATTATCCAGTCATAATGTGAAAACGAACTTTATTAGACCATCTCAAATGCAAAAATGTCAATCGTGCACATGTGTGTTATGAGAGAGATACATACATAAAAAGTACGGAGTAATAAATATTCTCTCTTTCTTCCAATGGTCTTTGTGTTTTAATAATATCTAGACGAAGACATTGTGTATGGCATCATGGGAGAAAAAATTACCAAAAACACAAAAACACCGTGGCAAGAAAGAGAGATAAATTCCATTTATTAATTTTATATAATTATATGTCTATTTCCCTCATGCCACATATGTATTGTGCAAATCATGTTGCTAATTAAAGACTAAGACATAGATTGCAATGTCAAGTATAGGAGAATTTCTAGAACCTTAACCTCAAGACAAAAAACATATCTTTAACTTTTAAAATAATGGCTCTTTCATCTCATTTTCTTCCCATGATAAGGACGATTTTAAAAAACATACGACCCAAATGTTATTTTACTTGTTCAATCTTTCTACTGGAACAAAAACTGGAAACTGGCCAATCCTAATCTTTTCTCTCTACCTGCATTCTCGTTCTCGCGCCATTCAACCCTAACAAACAAACCCTAAGAGTTCAAAGCGAATTAGGTGAAATTCACCGTTAGGATTTTACATCAAAACCACATCATCTTAGGTCATATCCCTGAGAAAGCCAACTGCGCTGCCAAACTGATTAGCCTGGGAGTTGATGTCAGATCTTCAAGATTCCTTAACATTCTTAAGCTTGATGCTATAGCCTTTCCTTATGTCATGGAATCTTCCCCTTTGTTTATTAGGTAGGTTTTGGCAACATGTCCCACTACCTTGTACCCTTTTCTACTCCTATCAATAAACTATCATTTTTATTATAAAAAAGGTAAACCCACTGTTTAAAGGGATGTATGCGTCCATCAGATCATTATCTAGCAAATATAGCATGATCAAAAATTTGTTATGGTTTAACACTTGAACCAACCTGCCTTGCAAAAGGTGGCCAAGACCAAAAGATCCAAGCACCATGAGGGAGATCATAGGAAGTCCATATCTAGTGAATGGCGACTTTCTACCCAGTCTTTTGAATGATGATGAAGCTGAATTTAGAGATTTTGATGCAACATTATCACCATTTTTTTCGGGATTATTCATCGTTAATGGAGTCATTTTCAAACTTCCGAGTTCCGATTACCTGCATCCCAATTAAGATTCTCAACGTCTGTCCTGTTAACAATCATGACATAATCAATCCGAACAATCACTACAACGCTGGATTTTTAGGTCAGGTACCATCAAAGCTATCTATACATAATAAGTAATAACACAGTTTCATTTGCCAATTTTCCGGCCAAAGCTGACAGAAGAAGTGGCAGAAGTATTTGTCACGTGTTTATAGTTTTCTTTTACTTTTAGTCCATTGTGTGTTTCCAACAAAATGTAGTGGAAGTTGAGAAAAAATTATTGCGTTAAAATCTAAACAATAAATTTAGGCTCATCTAAAAATGGATCAGCAGCTGATTCACCCATCCAGATTCAACCATTTATTAAAACCTTGAGATGAATTAAATTTATAAATTTTATTATAATTCAAAAAATACCTAACAAAATCAATAAATTATATCACCAACACTCAATCGATAACAACAAAAATTAAGAACTACACAAATCAACTAATTACTTATCAACTTTTCATGTATGATTTATAAACTAATCAAATAATCATACGAAGTATTAATAATTAATAAATCATTAATAATGCACGGTTTTCTTATTTCAAAGACGAAAAATATGATATATATCAAGATATCATGTTATAGAGTCATTTCTAGAATTGTATAGTACAATTCTTAAATAAGATTGAATATAAAATTAAGATAGGGAGATATCAATTAGCAATTCAGCAATCCAAGTGAGGCCGGAGGAGACGAGGTCACAAGGATTACCTGAAGAGAAGAAGAGTGAAGGCTGAACGGAGTGAACGCCTGAATTGCTGAAACGGTGAGGCAGAGTAAGCAGACGCAGTCTGGCAGTCGCTTCCTTCTTCCTTGGCGAAGGGCATTCGCGGTTTGCGGTTCTTCCTTGGCTGATTGCCTGCTCACACAGGTCATAGACAATTAAACAGGGCCTACTTTTTCATTTTTTGGACCTATGACTACCGCCCATATAGACCTGTACAAAACCGGCCCGGCCCGCTCGGCCCGCCCGGTCCGCCCAACCGGCCCGCACAAATGGGCGGACTTGGGCATATATATTTACCCACCGGGCCGGCCCGAGCCCGGCCCGCAATAACATATGGGCGGACTTGGGTTAGGGTGTAGGCCCGTTCGGGCCGATAAGCCCGACCCGCTACATTTAGTGTGTGTGTATATATATATATACTAATTTATTTATTTACATGTACACATGTGTATTTATATTTACTAATATAATTTACTTTTATACATATTTATAGTTTATTATATGTAAATTTAAGTTTTTAGTTCTTAACAACTAGCCCAACTAATATAGTATCAATTTTTGTACTTAAAGATAATACTTTTTGCTTGAAATTTAAATTTTAGATATAGTTTCTCATTATTATTTTTATGTAAGTATTATTTTTATATGTGGTGAAAGGCCTATAAATATTATAAGCATATTAACAATTTTTTAAATGTTGTCATATTATTTTTAAAGTATTAAAAAAATTATATAATTTAGAAAATTTTAAAGTTTTTCCGGGCCGGGAGGCCCGGTACCCGGCCCGCTCTTATGGGCGGGTATGAACATGGAGTTGGGCCCGTTTTTGCGGGCCGGGCCTGGCCCGCCCACACATGATGGGCAAAAAGTTTATAAAAAGCCCCGCCCATACAACCGTGAGCACTGTACTCCGACTGTCAAAACGAGTTTTGGACAATTAAAAAAAATCACACGAACAATACACACGTGTACAATGATTTTTTTTGTCCCAATAACATAGATGGTGTAACTCGCGTGTAAAGATATGTAACTCGCATTATTGATCAATGTAAATCAAGCGCATCCAAAATGTAACTTGTCAAATATTGATTTCAATGTAAATAATGAAAAAAACAGTCTAATTGCACAATTGTTTTAGGTAAAACGTGAATATGTTTTGTTTTTAATATCATGGCTATAAAAAATAATTTTTTAGAAAAGACCATTTTTTTGTTTCAATAGCAGGGGTTGATTTTTTAATGTAACTCGTTATTACAAATGTAACTCGCGTTGATGCCAAATGTAACTTGGGTGTATACAGAATGTAACTTGTTGGAAAGTTAAACAATGATTTCTTTTTGTGTTTGAGATATTATAAACATTGATTTCAATGTAAACAATGAAAAATTGATCTTAATAGCTTAATTACTTTTTATACATAGTGAATATGTTTTATTTTTAATATTAGTGCTATAAAAATGATACATCTGGAGTCAATGTTGCACAGAAACGCGAAAATCAAGAGGAATCGGGAAACGGGAAACGTCAACTTTTGCTCAAAAAATGATTATTTGGAGAGTTTCCGAAGAGTTTCCGAAACGGGAAACGTACTCTTTCCCGAGAGTTTCCATGCTACCTAGGCTGGAGTTTATTCAATGGTGTAACTCGCATACATTAAGATGTAACTCGCGTATATTTAGATGTAACTCGCGTACATTAAGATGTAACTTGTGCAGAAGAAGATGTGATTTCATTGTCTAGGAGCTGAATGATGGACTATATTTATTTTATTTAGATTTATAAACTTTTTGTTATGCATTGATAGAGAATAAAAAAAATAGATTCAATTATTATGTGGATTAATAAAATATGCTTATTATGTGGATTAATAAAATATAAAATGTATTACAATACACTTATTTTATGTGGATTAATAAAGTTTTGTAATAATTTGGTAAAGAAAAAATGTAAATTCATTTATATTTTAATTAGTTAAAGATAAAGATAAGTAAATTCACAAATAAATTTTTATTATTTGATGTTAAAGAGAAAAGAATTAAAGAAAGTGGAAGAGAAAACAAGAAGAAAGAAAATAGAAAAGAAGAAAAAGGAACGCTGATATATCATGCGCATAACAAAACAGAAAAAACGGCACCGGCATACCATGCACATGGTATGCCGGTTGCACGGTATAATTTGCCCTGCTCCTAGGTCCGCTCCTGGATCAGCTCTAAATTGAACTTCTAAATGTTTGTGAATAGGGGTGGAAATAGGCGTTTGAGCCTATTTCCGGGCTGCGACCTGCGAGTTGGCCTGGGCTGACCTGTTCAATAATCAAGCTTTTCAAAAAGTCCGTTTATCTAAATAGGCTAGACTTACCTGTGTGTGTATTTGTATATATATTTATTTGAATTTTATTTTGTACTATTTATATTTACATAAATAATTATATTAGTATACTTAACTGTAACAAATTAGGCATAGAAGTGTTTTTATGGAGCATGTGTATTATAATATTATAAATTAGAACGTTGTTTTAACTTTTAAATATAGTTAATGTGTTAATAGGTTAATAGGATTATTGAAATTCAAAGTTTTTCAATATTTGAAGTACATAAAAATTTATAAGCTATATAACTAATGTGTTATTAGACACTCAAACCAAAACTAACATATATTTTATTGAATATTTGGGAGGATAAACTTTATACCACGTTAATAGTATTATCACTTTATTTTAACTTTTGATTTTTTTTTTCTAACAGGCCTAATAAACATGCTTCAGGCGAGGTCGGGCTTTCAAACAGGCTAGGCCGAAAAAACAGACCTTTAATAGGTAACAGGGCAGACTCAGGCGCATACATTCTAAAACAAGCCCAGCCTGTTTAGGCAAAAGACTGATCTTGCCTGGTCTGTTTCCACCCATATTTGTAAACAACTAGTAATAGTTGGCTCTCCCTCTTTAGGGTTTTGTTCCTCCGCTTTCATCCCTGACGAAGTGCGTTCGTAGTTGGGGCTGATTCTTCGCCTTCGTCCTTGACGAAAGGCGGATGGTGTAGGCGCCCGTCAGTAATCCAAGGAGGTCCTTTTCGTGGCTGGGGTCATGGCTATCCCGCTGATGGTCTCGATCGCGGCCAACTGGTTTCTTCTTCCATCATCAATTGTGCGACTATTTTTCTTCGTTTGCTTTACCAAGATTATGCGGATGGAAAGGATGCTTGGTCTCTGGCGGTCGAAGGTTGTGCAAGGACGGAAGACACACGTTTGGTCTCCGGCGGCCAAAGGTCATGAATGAAGCATGGGGCTAAAGTTCGGAATAGATCTGGATTCGAGGTCATCCGTATTAGGTGGCGACAGATGAGGCTTAGTAGAGAACATGATGAATAAGAGGCTAGACGAGAAAGAAGTTGGAGTACGTCTAGATTGTCCCCCTCTTGAACCGTCGTCATGGAGTGCATGAGAGTCTAGGGTTTGGAAGCAGCATTTTAATTTTACTGTTTACTTACTTTTTATTTTTCATTATCAGACTGTTTATTTTTCTGTTGATTGCTTTTATTACTGTTAGATTCTTGCATTACGATTGGGTGATGCGAGGCCTATTTTAACCGTCATTGGCTCATTTATGCTCAATTATAGGATCAACGAGTCATATTGCTTTTTTGAAGGTGATTGACTCTAAGTCTGGTTTGAGGGCTGACAGTTGTCGTTGTCCTTTTGTCGTTTTACCCCTATCTAAATGTTGTGATATCAATTTAAGACTCTTTCAAAAATAAAAGTCCTAAACAACTATGAAGACATCATCATGGTTTCTCAACTTTGATAGTTTTGCGCTTTTGTTGTTGTAGAGTTTTGGATTAATGATGTTTCTTCTTGACACTCCATAACATCAAACAAGGTCTCTTTGAAATTCGAGTTGCAATTGTGGCATCCTCAGCATCAATAACAAGAGAAATATTCTACAAATAATAAGGCAAGATATAAATATAAAAACATCGCACAAAAAAGGTATAGACAAAATGTCACATGCCTATTCTAAGAGTTCGTATATCGTGGGATCATCCCACGGTGAGCACCGTGCTCCACATCCCAAAACAACGTAGTTTTGCACATTTAAAAAAAAATCGCGTGAACAGTAACATGTGAACAATAACGCGTGAACAGTGACTGTTTTTTGTCCCAGTAACATGAATGATGTAACTCGCGTGTAAAATAATGTAACTCATGTTATTGATCGATGTAACTCAAGTCCAGTCAAAATGTAACTTGTCAAATACATAGTATAAGAAATAAAACATTGATTTCAATATAAATAATGAAAAGAAGAAAACTATTTGCCCAATTATTTTACATAAATATTGTATATGTTTTGTTTTTAATATCAAATCTATAAAATGTTTTTTATGAAAATAATTTTTCTTTGAATAACAGGGCTTATTGGGTTGTGTAACTCACATTATATTGTGGTGTAACTCGCATTATGGAAAATGTAAATTTCATGTAAGCAAGATGTAACTTGATGAAGAAAGTTGACATGTAACTCACGCTAATAGATATGTAACTTTAGACAAATATTGGTGTAACTTGAGTGTGAGTAAGATGTAAGTTAGGGGAGGTCTAAAATAATTCATAGCAGTCATCCTCAACATGTAACGAAGGTGAGTCTTCTTCATTAGAATCTGAACTTTCATATTCAAAACATTATTCTTATTATACATATATACTAAAACAAACATTTAGCTTGAAGTCATTATATATTTATATTTACCCACATATTCACAGTACTCCAGATCCAAAATACGACACCTGCAATTTCAGAATTAAAAAGGGATATGTTGAATGGGGCGATTGAATGATAATCTTTTGTTTGGGTCTATTTGATGCGATGCACAATTCGTATTTGAGAAGCAGGTATGTAAACACAATTCTTTTTTATGCAAAGAACTCTTCGAATGACTTCTGGTTCAACATCTGGAGTGCGGCGGAGTTCTATGGTGAGCTGAAACAATGAAGGAGACGAAGGGGATCCGGCGATTGCTATTTTTTTTTAATAGGAAGCATAAAACTGTACCGTTTTGGGATCGGCACACCATGCTCATGGTGGGCCGATTCCACGGTATAATTTGCAGAATGTAAAATATAAATAAATATCTCAAACATTAATCAACACAT